ACACGTGTTAGCTTGTATATAATAACATATTTCATGTTTAGGAAACTAGAAAAATAAATAAACTGTGATTAAAGAAAAAAAAATCATTGGGTGAAATGAAACAAGGTGTTGAACTCTCCATTAACTCTAGAAATATTCAGATCTTAGTTTTATCTATTGTACCAAAACAAGACGTAAAGGTATATCATATCTTTATTCACTTTGATGTTGTCTGTCTTTTGTATTAAAACAAAAACAGTATTAAAACAAGTAACGAGACCTTGGATGACGGCGCATTTATAATATTCAACGGAAATTTTTAGCTTAACTTTTTTAAGATAAGGCTACTCTAATTTTCATATTTTGTTCTTTAGCTTAATAGAACTGTACCAAAAAAAACAGAGTTTTTAAGGATTATAAAAATCTTTATTCCCCATTATATTTAAAGAATGAGCAGCAGTTATATGGCGGTATAAATTCAAAGCTTCTTATTCATCTTTTCTCAGCATATATTTTTTGTCAAGGTAATCTATGCAAATAATAATAATTTGTGCTATATTTGGTAATAAAAGTGAGTAATTATGTTATCAAATGTAACTTTGAAAGAACACTAAGCTACTAACTTTAGAAGTATCAAATCTAGAAAATCAAATGTAAAGAACTCTCAACAGACACTTCAATTATATTTAGGCCTAATATTTGAACGATTTAGTGAAGAATAATTCTAGCAGCTTCTTCTGTTGTGATTAGTTGAAAGTTTCGGAAGATATTGAAATTTACTTTTGTTTTTGAAGCATTATGAATTGATTTAATAAAATTGTGGAACAAAAATTTACATTTACGTTTCATAAGGTAGCTCATTTTGAACTGCTGTAATGAGTAAAAGAATATGAAACTTATTCTAATCGTTGGACGCACTCTGATGGTCTGAATAAGTTTGTTGGTTAAGTTTATTATCTCTCAATAATAAAACAATTACGGATATTTTACTAATGTTAAATATGTGTTTATTTTTGCGGTGGGTTTAAGAATAAGAGGATTAATTAATTATACTTGTCCTATGACTTTAACCAAAAAAAATATTTAAAAGGTATTTATTAGATTCTGAAAATGGAAAAGTAAAATTAAGGTAATCAATAATTCATTAGCTGCAGTTTTATCTTATAAAGCGACAAGACAACATCTGCTTGCATGCGCTAGTAATTTGAATGTAAACCTTCTCATTCCCGGCTGGGTCTTTACGAGCAATTTTCTTGATAATTACCAAATTGAATTATTTTTTCAACTCTTCAGAGACAAATGTCAGTAGGTTTATAAAATTTGCGTTAACTGCTAATTAGTTCTTCTCACTGTGGGATGGATATTGAAAAGAATTTCAAAGCTAATCGTGAAATACTTTAACTCGCATATTGAGCGGTATAACAGCTAAAAACAATACTAATAAAAAAAAACATTAATTGATTTTATATTGATTATTGACATCATATTGATTTTAAAGTCATATAGATTAAAATGATTTATTTGAGGATTTCCAAAACTGGTTCTATTGTTTAGTGGTGAATTAAACAGCTATGATATAGTCTTTTGATTGACCCCTCTGATGACCACAATTGTTGTCTATCTATGTAGGACATTTTATTTCTCTTGTTTTATATAAATGTTAAATCTAATTGAAAGAATCCAAGCGACATAATATTAATCTAATATGAATGATAAATTCACTAGTAAAACATACTGTACCAATCACTAACTGAAAGTATAAAATAATTTACTTTAGCAGATTGCAAGATTTAATACAACTTGCGAAACCTTTATAATATTTTCTTATACGATTTTCTCATCTTGAAAAAATATTATTTATGTTAGGTTCTTAAGCTGCACTAAATATAAAAATGAAGTTAAAGAACATCACAGACCTTCTCGGGGAAAGCTATTTTTATTTTTTATTATTTATATAATGTTTTTGTTTGTTATTAAGCACAAAGTTACACAAAGGGCTATCTGTGCTCTGCCCACCACGGGTATCGAAACCCAGTTT